CCCCAATCCCCGCTACTGCGCAGGCGCCACTAGGCGGCCAGTCGTTGGGGGGCGTTTCTCGGAGCCTGACAGCCGGCTGGCTGCCTGACAGCGCTTGCGCTGAATCGTGTTCGTCGTATCACGTGACACACCCGCTGCTCCCCTCGCGATATCTGATGGGAAGTCGCTGGGTCGCTCATTGCTTCTCGAGTTCTCAGGCTTGGAAATCCCCGCTACTGCGCAGGCGCCACTAGGCGGCCAGTCGTTGGGGGGCGTTTCTCGGAGCCTGACAGCCGGCTGGCTGCCTGACAGCGCTTGCGCTGAATCGTGTTCGTCGTATCACGTGACACACCCGCTGCTCCCCTCGCGATATCTGATGGGAAGTCGCTGGGTCGCTCATTGCTTCTCGAGTTCTCAGGCTTGGAAGCCCCAGAACCGATCAGCTTAGGCTCAGTGCCTCCTGCTTTATTAAACAACAAAGCTCAGCGCAAGAATTGAGTGCTTTTCTCCGGTCTGACTTTAAATGTCAGATCATTCTGTGGGACGTAGTCGTCCCGGACGTGTGAAGCTGCCCGCCTCCTGGGCGGGCTGTGACCGCCGAGTTGCCGGAGAGCCCTGTGGGGCCCAGAGGTCGGGCCGCGGCTGGCTCGATGTCCTCCTCACTTCCGCAGGCTCCTTGGGTTCCTTTCGCAGCAGTCTGGGCACGTTCCACGCCAGTCCTGGGGTCACAGGACTTGGGTGTGCCAGCAGGGCAGGGCTCCCACCTTCCGGCTTCCTCAGCGACCCCAACGTGGAAACAAACCAGATGTCCACAAACTGCAGTGCGAGAGGATCACGTAGGCTCAGCCTCAGGAAGGATGAAGTTCTGACACATGCCAAGTGGGAGAAGCCAATCATCAAAGGCCAGGGGTTGTGTGATTGCTTGCTGTGGGCTGGATCATGCCCCCGTGCACATACGAAGCCCCAGCCCCAGTTTATCTCTACCAGGAGCCTCTCGGAGGTGATTGACTTAGAAACATCAGGTCAGAAGGCCGGGGCCCTGATGCCGTCGGGTTAGTGTCCTCATAGCAGTTCTGACACCAGGGTGCGCTTCCTTGCACGCCCTGGCTTTCTTGCCCTTCATGTCCACCACGTGAGGACACAGCGCAGCCTGGGGGCTTCTTGATGGGCGTGTCATACTTACAGCCTTCCCAGCAGAGAAATGCACAGCTGCTAGGGTGTTTTTTTTTATGGCAGCCAGAGTTGACCAATACGTTCAGTGTAAAACAGTCAGAATAGGTAAATCCGTAGTCAAATTCCTGGGTGGGAGTGGGAGGAATGGATGTGCTTAATGGGTGCAATTGCTCTCAGGGGTGAAGACTGTTGTGGAATTAAGTAGTGGTCACACAACTTTATCAATATAAGTGGTACTCCGGCCGGGCGTGGTGGCGCACTCCTGTAATCCCAGCACTCGGGAGGCTGAGGCAGGAGGACCGCCGTGAGTTCAAGACCAGCCTGGGCTACATAGTGAGTTCCAGGTTAGTCTCCACTACATAGTGAGACCCTGTCTCAAAAACCAAAAAAAAAAAAAAAAGTGGTACTCCGTTCACGGACTTGATTCTCTCTCCATGATTCTGGTCACAAACTGAGCTGAATCAAATTTCCCCATAGGGCTGGGTGTGGTGGCTCATGCCTATGATCCCAGTGTTCAGGGGGCTGAGGTAAGAGGATCTCCATGAGTTCAAGGACAGCCTAAACTACATAGATCCTGCCTCACAAACACACACACATTTCCCCATGTGGTCAACACAGAACCTAACCGTTGAATTTTATTCAGTCCAATTCAGTTTGTGACCAGAATCACGGAAACAATTAAATTGGTGAGCTAATATACCACTGCCCTAACCTCATTCTTTTTTTTTTTGAAAAGGAGGTCTCACTATGCAGTTCAGGCTGGCCTCAAACTCACAACAGTCCTCCTGCCTCACCCTCCCAAGTGCAGGACTACAGGCATGTGCCACCACGCCCGCCTAATACCACTGTACTAAAAACCACTAAATTCTGCAGTTTATAAAGAGTTTTATGATATGTGAATTATATCTCAAACTGATACTTTTTAAGTAAGAAGAAAGGGAGGGAGGAGAAGTGGGGGTAGGGCTGAGAAGTGTAAGGGAGGAAGTTCTGGGAGTGACAGGAGCAGAGGGTCTTGGTCTCCTCGCCCTTTCCAGTGCTGCCTGCCCCATTCCAACTATGGTCACCACCTGCTGAGGTCAGTGCACAGCTGCCCACCTTTGCGCCTGCCCAGAGTCACCTGTAAGTCTCAGTGTGACACTCCTCCAGGGCTCCCTCTGGCCATGCCCAGCGCACTGTTTCCCTCACGTTCTAGGCCTGGTGGTCATCTCTCCTGTCCTCAAGCCCACTCCTTTCCAGGCCTCAGCTTGCCCACCTTTAATCCATGCCCACACCCTTGCCCAGGCCACCCCAGCAGCCTAGAGCGGTGCTCCCACCTTTCTCCCGAGCCTGGATTGCCTTTGGTTACTCGGGGCTCACTGTGGCCCAACTTCTCCCCAGAAGCGGTCCTGGCACCCCTGACTGAGGCTGGGGTCATTGCCACCTGTGTACACTTGGCCACAAGTGCTGTCCCACAAGTGCTGTAGCGGCACTGCTACATCAGAAACTCGGGCAGCACTCAGAGCTGTCACAGCACCAGGGGTCGCAGGCTCAGGGCACATGACTCCCCCTGGAGTGGGCACATTGACCAAGACGCCAGCGGGCCAGGCCCACGCCTGTAATCCCAGCACTTGGGAGACTGAGAAAAGAGGATCACCCCAAGTGTCAGGCAGTCTGAGCTATATAGTGAGACCCTGTCTCCAAAAACAAAACAAAACCGACATATTCATGGGTTTTCAAAGGATATTCATAGGGATCTTTTAGTACTATGTGGAGAAGCAAAGGAGAAAACCCCAGAAATGACCCAAATATTTTCATTTGTTGAATGTAGTATTGTAGATGATTACAATGTTACAATTGTTGAAAATTGTAATCTGTGAGTCTGGAGTAGGCAGTGTTTCTACAAACCAGGGTGAATTTCTCTCTCTCTCTCTCCCTTTTTTTTTTTTTTGGTACCGGAGCTCGAACTCAGGTCCTTGCGCTTGCAAAGCAGGTGGCAGAACCACTGAGCTAAATCCCTGGCCCCAGGGTGAATCTCTTAAATGATGCTGAGCAAAGAAATGTGAGTGGGAGAATAAAATAGAAGTGATTGCACTTAGTAATCATAAGCTGCTGGGGGTGTAAATGGTGCCCAGTTTTTTAAAAAATCAAGAAATTAAAAAAAGCAAACAGAAACATAATCTCTCCCCTCTCTCCTCAAACATTTTTTCTTTTCAAAAATGAAAGAACAAAGAGTTAAAATGAGACAACTCAAAAGACAAGGGATATTTTGCCCAAGGAGAAAAATATAATCTGATGGAGAAGAGGAAGAACCAGCAAAGAAACAGTGGCACCAAATTTGGAATCCAAAGCGAGAAAAACAGTGCATGACGCAAAATGAAGATTGAGAGCCAGGTATAAATTAAGGAATCCAGCTGGGTGTGGTGGCACAATGCCTATAATCCCAGCACTTGGGAGACTGAGGCAGGAGGATCTCTGTGAGTTGAGACCAGCCTGGACTATATAGTAAGTTCTCAAAAAACCAAAAAATTACCAAATAAATAAATTAATTAAGGAATCCACTATTTCAGGGGTCAGTAGACATTTTCTGGAAAGGGCAAGTAGTAAATATTTCAGGCTTTATGACCCATATGTTTGTCATTATAACTAGTTAACTCTATTATGCAAAGGGTTACACATAGTACCTAAATAAACGAACAGAGATGTGTTCAATAAAACTATTTATTGACACTAAATTTGAATTTTATATCATCTGTGTGTGATGAAATACTTTTATTTTACTTTTCCTCCCCAGTATTTAAAAATGTAGAAACTATTCTTAGCTGGAAAGCCATCCAAAAGCATGCTGTAGACCAAAATAGGTCCACAAGCCATACTTTGGTAAATTCTGTGCTGTCCTAAAAACTTAACAAGGTACAGGGCTGTATGAAAAAATAAATTTAGATTTTATGGTAAAGAAAAACAAATTGCCAGGCAGGGGATTTAGTTCAGTGGCACTGCACCTGCTTCACAAGCCCAAGGTCCTAAGGTCAGTCAATCCCCGGTATCAAAAAAAGAAAAGGCAAGGAAATAGGTGAGAAAAATGCTAAAGGAGAGAAACAAAAGTTAAAAATGGTTGCCTCAGGAGGGGGAAAGGGGATGGAGGAAAGATAGAATATTGGCTCTTTATTTTGGTTTTGGTTATTTTTTTTTTTTTTTTTTTTTGAGACAGGGTATGTAGTTCAGACTGGCCTTAACCTCAATATGTAGCCCAGGTTGGCCTCGAACATGTGGCAGTCCTCCTGCCTCAGCCTCCAGAATGCTGGCATTAAGGAGTGCACCACCACATCTGGCAACAACTCCCGTTTTCATTTCACTGTGTGCAGCTCTTGCCAGAAAGGGTGCTGATGTCCTGCCGACTAGCAAGAGGCACCAGGGGAAGAAGTGGTGACTGTAAGCTCCAACTGAACTCCTACCTGGCAGCACC